ATTCCCATCTTAAAAAAGTTGAATAGTAACTTTAAAACTATACCGAAAATGTGAATCCAATCGATTATTACGAAAATAGGCATTCTCCCTGATTTATCCCTTGCGGATAATCTTGTATTTAAGTTTTCAACCTCTACTAGTGACTGAGGTAAATTTATGGAAATCATGTGACCAAAGCCAATGGATCTAGGGCATGGTACACTAACCCACAATAATTACATTTGCGACATACTATACTTTAGAAGTTGCTTGACCTTGTTTCACTGATGATGCCCACTATGATTCCGGCGAAATGTCTGGGAATGTACCAAGTCCACGGTCCAGTTATCGAAATTAGCATGCACACTATGGACTCCGGACAATGTGCGTTCCTCTAGGTCTTTCGGACACTATGACCAAGTAGCGTTAACAAGGTAAAACAACTTCTATACGGCGAATGGGGGCTACGACCATACTTAATGTCACACCATCTTGGTCTTCATACCTTCGATTATATTATACTTTACAGGTGAGTTAAAATAAAGTTATAATGGCTCTGAGTTTTCCTGACACTACTCGAATATACTTTTATTTTCCTTATTGGCTTTCATTTCATTACAATGAGATCTTTATGTCGACCTCGCCAAACCACAATTGCAGATTCATCTTAAGCCCCAGTTACGTCATTCTTAAACATTCTGATTAACGTAATCCTTGACGTACCATTCTATCTCAATAGAAGTCTGCTAGGCTTTCCTCAGTAATATCACATGACCTACTCAAACAACGGCAGGTATAGAAAACTTTCGCTAATTTCCTACGATATCTAGTCGCATCGATGTGCATGAGTACATGCTTGTGCGTGTGTGTATGTATGTGAGTGCGTGCGTGCGTGTGTGCGCGTGCACATGGGAGTGATACATCCGAGTAATCAGAACAGAGTAGAAATATCTGTTTAAATTCACCTAAATTTAAATATCTTTCTTTTTGTCCCAAAGAGACACATCGCTACGATTGGGTAATGTCATATAGTAGTTTGGCTGGCCTTCTGAACTGAGTTTAAAAAGTGTGGTGCCGAAGTCAAGAATATTGGTTGTGCTTTCTTTCTTTTTTAGGTGGGCCCCTAACTTAATTATAAAGATTTAAATTATTGCTCATTCTGTTGAATTAAATGATCCATAACTTTTCCTTTTTCATTTAAAATAACAATCTGTAAACCGAAAAGTCATAGAAAATTCAGAATCTTGTCCAATTTCCACCAAACATTCTGTCACTGTTAGGCTAAATCAGCATATACATGCGGAGAGACTCCTCGAAAGGCAATTTTGTTTCCAAGACTAATTTTAGTTTCCACATAATTGGACTTACTGTATACGGGTGTTCTTATCTATCAGCCCATATCTATTAGCAAAAAAGGTAAGTCTGATAGTCCTGATCCCCTTTTCTTCGTCATGTCAGGAGAAACGCAGTTCAAGATCCAGCCACTTTCAATATGCCTAACTACCTCCCAACCTTTAATTGGCACTGGTATTCTTTGAACTTGGATAAATTTGGTTTTGAAAAAATGAATAACTATATCTAAGGAGAAGCTGGGTTTCTAAGACACCCTTAGTAGATTGATACAGGCATAGCTTATATTTGGTTTGAGAGGGCGGTTTGAAGGGATTCGTGGGACGGTAAACAGAGGTCTACTTCGCACATTTCAACATACAAAAGTCCAAGATAACCCTCCTTCGGTACCAGGTAAGGCCAATTAATGAATCCCTTCCACCAGATTTCTCAAACGAAATGGAAGGTATGCCACTATCAAACAAGTGAATTGTCAATCTTTTACTATTTCTGCACTAAACTGTAGTAAATAGTCATTGTGGGATCCACGGCGCACATAAGTGCACACTATTCTGGAGACTGGGACGTTTGATGAACAAATTGAATTCTCATCATTCCAGCAATATTTATTGAATACTTTATTGGGCCTATCCACTTAAGTCTTAATTGTATGCCCAATTATTACAAATTACGTCATAACTCTAGGCCCTTTTGTTAAGAACTTCTTATATTTCAGAAGTGGGTTGACTTCGTTTTCTCAACTTGATCTTGTTGTCAGGGGACTTAGTAGAACGCCCCTTGTCCGAAGTAGCGCTGACGTTTCCATTGAGGAAAAATTCTACTACCAGTTCATCATCACCTTAAAATAAATAGGGTGAATACATCACATATTACTGATTTACTGGTAGTCTCGACGCTCTACTTATATACGAAGAATGCAGCAAGGCCAGAAAAAGGAGACGCCTGGTTCAAGGTTCTTTCACTGACCGGAGGAAAAGGGATTGCACTGGGAAAAAAGGGGAGCGGGGATTTTCGGCAATCAAGCGAAGGGGTTGTCTGTTCAGAGGCACACTGGGACTGGAACCGAGTAAAATCGGTCAATCATAAAGATTGGAAACGGATCTAAGGATCGGATTAGCCGATCAAAAGAGAGAGGGTCAGGGTGACTGAGGCCACACCAGATTTGCCAAAAAGGGGCAGACATTTTGACGAGTGGAATGGGATATGGAGGGAGTTGGAAAAGAGGGTAAAGAGTTGATAGATGGGCCAGGAGAGGAAGAGGAGTGATAGTGTAACTGTTTTCGGCAGAACGTTTGTCGCAGGATTGATTTCATTTGTCTCTTTGACGAGTTCATAGCTTGGTGCGGAGAATGGCAAAACTTACTGATGATGCCGAAGAAACATTTGAGAATGTACCAAGTCCACCGTCAGATGCCGGGAATCATGACAACTACTATGGCAGATGACTTCGGACTAGGTGCGTTCAACATAGTCGCCCTGACAACAAGACCAAGTTGCGACAGCGAGGTCAACCCATTTCTATAAATCGAAAGGAGACTGCGACCATACCGGTGGCCCCACCATCTTGGTCGTCATATCTTCGATTAGCATGTGTTGTTTATTCTGGTCCTTGCTCATCATGCATAATTTATCTACTGATTGAGTCAGAAAGACGCAATGCATTGCTTCTAGCTGTCGCCAACATTTACTATTTGCTGTCTTTCATTGTTACAATAGGTGAAGTTCTGGCATACTCTTGGAATCACAGTCATTAAGACGGGTTTTGCCTTTATTCATCCGGAAAAATTCTTTGGATAGGGTTTGAAGGAACAAAGTAACGTGTTTATCGCAAGCCTTGGGTGTGCAGACCAAAGTCGGACCCCATTAGCCATTGCGGCCAATGAGTCATCATGAGACCTCGAAATCTTAGCGTCGGACATGACGCAGCCTTAAGGCTTAGCATATTAGCCAAGATGGAATTGACAGGGACGTGTTGGGCAAGCCTCTCCGAGAACATAGCATTGTGCCTGCTTTGTACCGGCTTTGCAACGCAAACCTACATTATTAGCCAAAGCAGGATTCCTTATAGCCATGCGTATCCACAACAGCTCGTCAACAAATATGTAAACGTAAGAGTTTTATGCAGTTAGGAGGGAGCTCAATAAATGACTTGATAAGGGAACATAAGAAATGATGGATATTAAAATTGAGAGAAATCAATGCAAACATACAGATGGACAAATATATTTATGAATATATATATATATATATAAAGGATGCTTCAATGAAACAATTAATGTGTAATTCTAAACCAGGCAAGCCTCTGCTCATTATAATTCTTACTTGAGGCCATAATTACCCACATGGCAAATGAAGAATAAGAAAATACCTAAGCCTATAGTACTCAAATTAAATGCTGTGAAATTTGAAACCTTGAAGTTTAAGCGAATTCATGCCTTATAAACGCAGATAAGCTTATATGAGATGTATTCATCCGATTTCGTCGAGTTGATGAAAGACTGATAGTTGCATTTTCCCACCGTGCTATGAGTAAGCCTCACGTTTCCAACTCGTTCCCAAAAATTACCTCAAACGAAATTGGCTGAGCATCTATAGGCTACTGGTAGTCTCGATGCCTACCTATAAACGAAAGAAAATATTTATTCAAGTGACAGATGAAACACCTCACTTTGTTAATTATAGGCCACTTACTATACGAACTATTGGCAAACTACTAACTATGAATATAAGTAATGCAGTCAATTATAATGACAAATTACAAGTTTGCCCAATCACAATCCCTTAATAAATGTGTAAGGTCCGATCTACCTTAAAAGTCACTTCCGCTGTGGGAGTCACTGGAACCCCGGCAAGCGTGGCATAACGTGAAATTTTGAAAATATACTTTGCATTATCCGGGTTTGCTTTTGGTTGACAGCGCAGTCCAAGCTGAATGAGAATACATTTTCGGAGGCAAGACTAGGTTAACTTCAATGGAATATTGAGCACTACTCATAGCATTCTGGAAAGATTTAACTTTCATTATTTAATCGCCTTATGCAACTTACGGTTAATACAGTTTTTATTGAATATCTTGTGATTTTACCAAGGTATATCGAATATAAACATACAACTTTGACCATAGATACGAATATGAGATGTATCCACCCTATTTCGTTTAAGGTGATGAAGGACTTGTAGTAGAATTTTCCCACAATGATATGAGTGGAGCCGACATTTCCTTTCAATTTCACATAGCCTTGCTTTCTCAAAAGGTACTATCATCCAGGATGGACTGCAGTTTAGATCTCGCATCGATCTTATCAACACCCTCAGCGGGAG